ATTTATGTTGTGGCAAGCATTAGGATCTCCTTCTTTTTTAAAGCTAAATAATATTCCAGCGTGTGTGTGTGTGTGCGTATGTATATGGATATATGCCACATTTCTTTATCCATTCATTTGTTGACACTTAGGTTGTTTCCATGTCTTGACTATGGAACAGTACCACAGTGAACACGAGAGCACAGATATCTTTATGAGTGGGTGATTTCATCTTTGTGTGTATACCCAGAAGAGGGACTGCTGGGTCATATGGTAGTTCCATTTTTTAATTTCTTTAGGAGCCTCCATACTGTTTTCTCTAATGGCTGTATCAATCTAAATTGCCACCAACATTGTACAAGGGTTCTCTTTTCTCTACCACCTCACCAATATTTGTTATTTCTTGACTTTTCAGTAATAGTCCTATTATCAAAAGGGTGTGATATGGTATCTAATGAGTATGAGATGGTGTCTCACAGTGGCTTTAATTTGCATTTCCGTGGTTGTATTAATCCATTTTCATGCTGCTGATAAAGACATACTCGAGACTGGGTAATTCATTAAAAAAAAAAAAAAAAGAGGTTTAATGGACTCACAGTTCCACGTGGCTGGGGGGGCCTCACATGGCAGAAGGCAAAAGGTACACCTTCCATGGCAGCAGGCAAGAGAGAATGAGAGCCAAGCGAAAAGGGAAACCCCTTATAAAACCATCAGATCTCATGAGACTTATTCACTACCATGAGAACAGTATGGGGGAAACTACCCTCATGATTCAATTATTTCCCACTGGGTCCCTCCCACAACACATAGGAATTACGGGAGTTATAATTCAAGGTGAGATTTGGGTGGGGGCACAGCCAAACCATATCAATGGTGTTTAGTGATGCTGAGTACCTTTTTCCTATACCTGTTGATCGTTTTTATGTCTTCTCTGGAGCAATGTCTGTTCAGGTTCTTTACCCCTTTTTAAATCAGGTTATTTATTTTTCTGGTATTGAGTTATAATTGTTCTTCATAAATTTGGGGTATTAACCCCTTATCACATATGTGCTTTACAAGTACTTTTCCCCAGTCTGTAGGTTGCCTTTTCTTTTAGTTGACTGTTTCCTTTGCAGTGCAGAAGCTTTTTAGTTCGATGTAGTCTCATTTATTTATTTTTGCTTTTGTAGCCTGAACTTTTGGTGTGGGTGTTTTCTTAATATACTAATAAGTTCTCATGAGAATTGGTTCATTTCCAAAAAGCCTTGCATGGTGCTTACATATGAAAGTGAAAATCTACATTAATTAACATAAAGCATATGATTAATAGTAGAAACACTCCATTCTCCATGTATCATGAAAATATTAGCATATGTTAGAATGTCAGATCAAAAAAATGTTTTAAGTTGTACCATATTACTGATCATGAAATTTATAAATCATAATTTTGGACTTCAGTTCAACAGCAGTTCCATGTAATAAGCAAGCATCAACTGAACGTGTTAACGTGTTATGTATGTGCAAGGCACTCTGCTCAGAGTATAGAGAGGAATTAGCATACTGCAGTGCCTGTTCTCAAAGGACTCTTATTCCATCAAGAGGAAACAGACAAATCAACAAATAATTACAATGCAATGCGATCAAACACAATGATAAAAAGTTACACAGAGACCGGATTTAACTCTGTTGGAGGATGGTGAAGAGAGGGCGTCAGAGAAGGTTCAGAAGGAAGGCAATGCCTGATGAATAGCTTCTTGATTGAAGGGTGCTGAGGAAGTGGCAGCAGGGCATTCCCTGGGCAGAAGGAAACCAAATAAGGGTTGTGATAAAAGTGCAGATTAGCAGTGATGAGAACTGAAACTAAGACAGTGCCAGTGAAATGCTGGCAGGGGATGAATCTGCAGTACTTTGGAGGTAACACTGAAAACCTGGCAATTTGATTTCGTATTGTCCAAAAAGGTTACTGAAAATGAAACTTACTGGTGGTTCATGGAGATAATTTTGCTGGTCTTTTCTTTTTAATAGATCACTCGATTTGAAGCGAAGTTTTAACAAACACTATATATGCATAATTTATTTTAATTTGAATATTTTATTTATATATATATACATATAAATTCCCAAGGCTGTTTGCATAAATAGTATATTTCTAAGGTATTTGTTCTTGCATAGCAACAGACTGAAGGCAAAATAAGAAAAGGATGTAAGTATTTAGTGAACATGAAGAAAAAACCAAATTGAGTCTCACTGATCCTTCCATCTCCTTTCTGCCTGATTGAAGGAGTTACTTGGTCACCTACCTCTGCATATTAGTAGAAAAGTGTTCCCAATCCTGTCTAATAAATTGCCAAGCAACAAGCTGCCTGATGTATTCATTCTATCAATATGTTCTGAGATGCTTGGAACCGGCAATAGAGAAATCAAGAAGAGGCTGTAGCCAGGCATGGTGTCACGTGCTACTTGCGAGGCGGAGGAGCAGGGATCACTTGAGCCCAGGTGTTTGAGGCTGCAGTGACCTATGATCATGAGACTGCACTTCAGCCTGGGCAACAGAGAGGACCCCATCTCTAAAAAAAAAAAAAAAAGGTGGCAGGGGGAAGAAATAGTCATTTGTCCAGTGTAATAAGCACATTCTTAGAAGTGAGGCTTGCAAGAATGCAGAGAAGTGAGCTAACTCTGCCTCGTGGCAAAAGAAACGCTTCACAAAAGAAGTGATAACGCAGCTCTGAAGGTTTTAAGAATGGGGAAAAGGAGGAACGTGTGATGGCATTCAAATATAGGATATTGTGTGAGATTACATTATTGTTTCCAATGATTTGTTCCATCTCCCTATGACAGGGTTATATTTCCCTGCCCCATTTAAGGTCAGTTTTGGCCATGTGACTTGCTTAGGCCAATAAAATGTGAACAGAAGTGATTTGTGTCATTTATGTGCAAAATTCATCCCGACATTCCAATATTACTCTTCTCCCTCTGACATGTGAGAAAACCATTTCCAGAAAGGACCTGCTCATTCCATTTCAGTCCCAGAAAAAAAGAAGACTCTTGGAATAAAGCTGAGGCCAACCTGCAGCCAATGTGTAATATACATGCAAGAAATAGACCTTGCTGTTGAAAACCTCCAAGACATGGGATGCTGGTTACAGCAGCATACCTTAGGAAAGCTGATTAACACAGAAATAGTCACTGAAAAGGCACAGGACTATGAAAGGGCATGGAGTGGTTGAGGAATGGTGAGAAGTTCAGATTGGCTGAGAGTGTGGACTCTGCATTTAGGGAGAGACAGCCAGATATACTCCAGAAAGGTAGCCTGGGAACAGATTTTCAAAGGATCTTTAAGGTCCTGCTAGGAAAGTTGAGTTTCAGTCTTTAAATGGTAGGAAGCCAGCAGAAGCTAAGGAGTGACGTGGTAAGATTTTTTTTTCTCAGAAAGATGATTCTGATAGGAGGGGAATGACGCTAGTACCAGGGAAATCAGCTAAAGCATCTTTATAATCCTAACCACCACTATTTATTATGCACGTACCATGTGTGAGGCATTTTGCGTCTATTTGCCAAAGTAATACTCACAACCGCCCCCTGTGGTAGATATTGCAATGATCCTTTTTTTATAGATGAGGAAACTGAGGCACAGAGAGGTGGAATAACTTGGCTAAGTCACTCCAAAAGACAATGTAGCATTAGAGTTCCATCCCAAGCAGTCTGGGTGCCAGAATCCATACTCTTCACCACTATATCCCACTCTCAGAAGCCTAGAAAGTGGTAATAAGCATCTGAAGCACATGGAGCTAGAGAAGAAGGTCTCGAGTCTCATATTTATGGGGCTGCAGAGGCTGAAGGTGGGCATGAGGTGAAGCTTAGGGGTGACAGAGATGGAGGAGCTACAGATAATGCCTCATTCTTTACTGAAGACGCTCAATCAGTGCTAAAGCAATGACTTGGAACAAGGAAACAGAAGAGCAGGTTTAGGAAAGGAAAATGACGAGTTTTGCTTGGGATGCATCAATTTTGAGGCAGATGTGAGGCACCAGGTGGAGATGGCAGTTAGAATACGGGGTGGAGACAGATCCAGGTGGGGCAGAAGGCCAGGTAGTAGATTAATTCACCCTGGCAGATGTAGAAAGTGACTTGAAAAGAGTGTCAAGGGAAGAATTTGGAGGAACCCCATGATTTAAGGGGTAGATCTAGGAGGAAGAGCCAGAGGAACTTTGACTGGGAGGCAGTGATAAAGGAAAGGAAGGTGGCAGGCAGAGAAGAGAGGATGGGTTTTCAAAATACTGATCGCCACAATGACTTAAAACTGGAGGAATTAGGAGGCAACCACAGCCACCTCTGTTTGTGGCACACTCCAGCCATAGTGACTTTGAGAAACAAGAACCTCCACTTCCACAGCAGCATAAATCACATCGTACCTTATAAGTGTCCCAGTGGAGGAGGTGCGAGGATGCATTTGGGTGGAGGTGGAGAAAAAGTAGAAAATGAGCTTCCCTGATGATGACTCTCATAGATGTAAGTACTCTTATACTAATTTATAACTACAGAACTTATTTATGAACTTCTAAAATGACAGATTCCCATAAATGGGGGAAAAAAGTGCATTGCTTCAATTTACAGGAATTGCCTAATTCCAAACATAGTAATGAGAAGGATTTAAAATTAAAATCCTTTCTGGAACACTCTTTTACCTAGAAGAGCTAGCTTATTAGAGTCACCTCTTATGTGTTCTCCATTAACACTATTACATTTCAACAGCCTGTAACTAGTTCAAAGAATATTAAGATATTTGCATAGAATTCCCCAGGCTTTTGGATGACCTAGTAGAATATTACATTTTTAAAAACATACGAATAGCTCAAAGCTACACAGAGTTTATTATGCAACATTCTATTAGGAAAAGCTCAAATGAAAGTTTTATAGTAGAAGAAAGTATTACAGTATTTTGTCTATAACATAAATGACTTTCTTGGTGAGTATACCTCCAATGATTGAGGTATGTTGAGATGGTGTTTGGAAAATGTTTCATGGAAACAAACCTTGGAAACTTGGGGTTAAACAATCTAGATTTTATTTTTCTATTGCAGGACTTCTGAGAACCTTCAGTGTGCTGGTTTACATTGCATAGCTCTAGAGATGGGTATTATGTAGGAGTTCCTACATTTATCTGACCATACATAGATTCCTCTCTTTTTTTTTTTCCAAAAAACATTTGACCTACTTTATGAAATGTCCTATATAGCAGATTATATTTCTGTTCAAAATGTCGGCTGCTCCTCCCTGTGGTATCCTTCTTCTGTAGAAATGTTATCCCTCTCTACTTCACTGACCCCAGCTGTGGCCACGTGACCTGTTTTGGCTAAAGTAACATGGCTGTGGGTAAGGTGTGTTGCTTCTATCAGACACTCGAAGAGCCAGGTGTAGTTCATCTTTTCTTTTTATCCTTTGCCACAAGACCAGCTATGTCCCAAAGTTTGTTCTGACATCTTAGAGTTCTGGAGAGTCCTTGAATGGAAATGGAAATGCATAAAAAATAAGTCTTTGAAATTGTAAGCCATTAATATTTTGCATCATTTGTTACCAGCTAACTGAGCCTAAGCTGACTAATGCCTTCTACTTCAAAGTATTTCTAAATTATCTGAACCTTTACCACTTTTCACAGGTGTACTCATTCTGTATTGATTGTCTAAATGAGGAAGTGTTCTTGGAATTATTCTTTAGGTTAGGACAGTACACTTGAAGGTGAACTAAAAATACATATATATGAAACATGTCTTAAAGAAATGGTGTCTAGGCTGGGCGCAGTGGCTCACGCCTGTAATCCCAGCACTTTGGGAGGCTGAGGCAGTCAGAGCACCAGAGGTCAGGAGTTTGAGACCAGCCTGACCAACATGGTGAAACCCTGTCTCTACTAAAAATACAAAAAGAAAGTTAGCTGGGTGTGGTGGTGTGCACCTGTAATCTCAGCTACTCAGGAGACTGAAGCGTGAGAATCACTTGAACCCAGGAGGCAGAGGTTGCAGTGAGCACACCACTACACTACACACTATAGCCTGAGTGACAGAGTGAGACTCTGTCAAAAAAAAAAAAAAAAAAAAAAAGAAATGGTGTCTAGTAGTTACCTGGAATGAGTATTCTTGGCTGGGCGCAGTGGCTCACGCTTGTAACCTCAGCACTTTCAGAGGCCAAGGCAGGCGGATCACCTGAGGTTGGGAGTTCAAGACCAGCCTGACCAACATGGAGAAACCCCTTCTCTACTAAAAATACAAAATTAGCTGGGCATGGTGGTGCATACCTGTAATCCCAGCTACTCTGGAGGCTGAGGCAGGGGAATCACTTGAACCCGGGAGGCGGACGTTGCCGTGAGCCAAGATCGCACCATTGCACTCCAGCCTGGGCAACAAGAGCAAAACTCTGTCTCAAAAAAAAAAAAAAAGAAAGAAAGAAAGAAAGAAAAGAAAAGAAAAGAATATTCATAAGCTCAATTCTGAGAAATTCTGATTTAATGGGCCTTGGATGGGTTCTAGGAATCTGAATTTTAAACCAGCTATTACCAATGCAGGTGATCTGTTAACCACACCTTGGAAAATGCCTCTCTAAAGCCACCGTTCGATTAACAGTCATGTGATAACATGCATTTAAATAAACGCCATTTCAATTTAAGAAGGCACCATGGAGGGTCTTCCTTTGAATTCCTGGAAGCATGTATGAAATCAGTTTTATCGCATTTGAGTTTATATTCATTATATTTTGTGCAAAATATTTTATGCACAAATGATACTTTCATGCTTAAATGCCTATCTTGTTCAAAAAGCCTGATTCTAAATGACCCTTAGCTCTTTCAAACAATAAAACCAAAACCAATCTGCTTTAAAAAGATTAAGTTTTGTTACCAATGAAGATCAGGGGCTACTTCAGTTGCAAGTGACAGAAATTTAATTCAAACTGTCTTAAGCAAAACAAACATTGGTTACAGAGCTAAAACGTCCATGGTTTTTGAGAGGATGAAGTTCTTGGTTGACGGGGTAGGACATGTCAGAACTGGAGATAAGACCTTTGGGAAGGCGTCTGGGAGGTAGGGATGCTATCAGTCAGCAGGCAGGAAGAGGAGGGTATGCAGGTTCTTGTGGGAGGAAGACTAGGCAGGCACCTGGACAGTGTGGGAACAGGTGAAGGGGTAGTCTAGGCAGATGACTGGCACTGGGGAGATTTGGCCAGGTCTGATAAGTGGAAGTCCTGACAGCTGGGTAGGGAATAACCAGAAAGGTAAAGAGTAGGTAGGTAGGCAGAACGACAGGTGTCAGTCAGCTGAAATCAGGGCTCCACTTACAATTAGATCTAGATACGCAAAACGTAGCTTCAAATATCTGTTTCTTTCCATCAATCAGCACTGCTTCCTCCTCCATTGTTAGCTTCATACTCAGACGTTAAGTCAGAATGAGAAGAAAGGAGAGGGAGGAGAATGAGTTGGCTGGATGCCATGACCAGATGTTTAGAAACCAAATCATAAAAATATTTTCAACTAGTGTCTTTGAATGCCTTGAGCTTTTCATGAAATTCTTATAACTTTCAGTATCTGTTTATGTCATCAGTGTCAGTTCAAATCGATTCCACTGACAGCTTGATCAATGATTTCCAATTTTATCTCAGACAAACGCAGTATGGTTCAATCAATGGTTTTGCTTATGTGAGCACTTTAGGATTGTGTCCACAGATCTATTTCTACTTACAAATTTAGTTTCAGACTGTTGCTTGACTAATTTCACAACTTTGTGCTTTGAATGTGTCTGAATATAGCCCCGAATCCCTCCCCGTAACAGGCATGAAGAAAACCTGAGATAGAAATAATACGCACTTGATTACTTGATCCTTTCTTATCACAGGCAACTAACTACTGTAACCAGATGATTCCCTGCTGACACTATTGTGATACCTGCCAAAAAAACTGTCTAATGTCACGTTAACACCTTAAAAATGACAACCAGCCAGGCCTCCAAGCCTTCTTTCACTCTTGGCGTTTGTAGTTGCTTGCTTATCGGATGGTATCTTGTTTCTATGACTCCAAGTGCTGGCTCGCATTATAGTCAACTGGAACCAAGAAAATGCCAGCAAGTCTGTCATGGAAAGCTAGGCCTATAATGCACAGGCCAACCCTCTTTAACCAAAAATTATCTGGCTCTGGATGCCAAGAGTGCCAAGGTTGAGCAAGGTTGTGCCTGTTTTAGATGATCATAGGAACTCTGGCTCTTACCTGTGAGAAATTGAAAGGCATGATCAGGTTTTAAGCAAAAGGAATAATCATCCAAGTTACATTTTTAAACAGGATTGTTCTGGATATGATGTTGACCACAGATGGCAGTGGAGCAAGGAGGAAGCAGAGAGAACTGTTAGCAGATTATTGCAATAACAGACAAGAGATGATAGTGACTTAGACCAGCAGGGTGGTTTTTGATGTTCACAACTTTAAATTTGGTTCTTTTATCCCTACCATAGAGATGAGGAAACAGAGGCTGAGGGAGGAATATTACCAGGCCACATGGCTGATTAAACCATGGCATTAGTATGTGGGCCCAGGAGTGTGATTTCAAAGTTATGCTCTTTCCACAGGTTATGATGCCCTTCCCCCATCACCTTCCTCTGTATCTCTTTCTCAAACAAAATGCAAAACCAGTGGCACAGGAGTAAATCCTAAAAAGAGCAATCTTCCCAAGGTTCCTTTCCAGGCCTACCATTCCAAGTATCTGAGTTAAACCGACTTGAGCCTGGGTCACCTCAGTTACCCAAATCTGTCTCTTTAAATTTCCCCCTAAGGACAGGATTGGTCCCAGAACTCAGAGCAAGGATGAGTCCATAGGTGGGGGGCCTCTGGGTCCTACAGAGGATGGATAAGAGATACGAGAGGTGGGAAACCAGTCCAGCACGTTTTCTGGATCAGCAGACTGTGTCATGTGTGTTTGTTAATCTGTGCCCCAAACCACAGCTGCCCATGAACTCAGCACAGCCATTAGTGGATTTCTGACAGTCTATGGCAGGCAGCCTTGTGTTCTTCACATTTGTCACAAGTTAGACTTTAAACAATTCAGAGTGGTCTCTTTCCATGTATAGGAAGCTCTCTCTGGGCAAATAGTGGGTAACCAGCACATCAGACAATGGCATCAGGTTGCAAACTTGTCTCTGTAAATTGAAGTAATCAGAAACAAACAGACACAAAGTTGTTTTATAAAACCTCTTAAAGTATAATATACATAAATATAAGTGCACGTATCATAAATGTATATATTGATGAATTTTTATAAGCTAAACACCAAGAAACAGAACATTGTCAGTACCCTGGGGCCCCCACCATACCCTTCCAATCACTACTCTTTCAAGAGTAGCCACCATTCCTGACTTTTAATACTGTAAATTGGTTTTGCCAGTTTTTGAACTTTTTCTAAGTGGAATCACATAAAATGTTCTTGACTTATTTCCTCCAACATCACATTTTGTGAGATTCATCTGTGTTGTGTAAAGTTTAGAGCATTTATTCTCTCTGTTATATAATATGACATATGAATACAAAACAGTTGATCTGTTTTACTTGGAGGGACATGTGGATAGTTTCCAGTTTGGAGTTATTATGAATAGTGTGCTGTGACAATTTCAGTACATGCCTTTTGGTGAAAACACGCACAAGTTCCTGTTGAGTATGTATGTAGGTGTGGAATTGCAGGGTTGCAGGAGAAAAAAGATGTCTTGATAGGATGAAATATAACATCTTCTAGCTAGAGAGGTAAAACAATGTGTATAGATATTACAGGGAAGGTTTGGATAGGCTCAAGAATGAAAGCAAAAGTCCAGAGCTTAGGAAAAGACTGTGACCATCAGGATGCAAAGTAGGGCATAGTCTAAGCTAAGGAAAATGATGGTGAGCGTAGATAGCTAGGTAACTTGCAGAAACCAAGTGGCAGCAGTGTTGGGTAGTAAAGGGCTCTAGTTGAAAGATCTGAGTTTGAACTTGCTCTGAGTGTGACTGTGTAACTGGAGTGTGTCACTTGACAGCTCAAAGCCTTGACTTTCCCTTACAGAAAATTGTTAAGAAGATTAAATTCATACATTCAACAATGATTAACTACCTATCCGTGTGCTGAAGACTGGGGATCCAGCAGTAAACAAAAAAAGTGTCCTTATCCTCATTGACTTTACTGGGAAGGAATACCCATGGTAAACAATGGCCATTTAATGACAATTATGAAAATTGCAATAACAGAATCTAACCAGTCTGGAGGGTCTGGGAGGAGTCTCTGAGGCAAGTAGACAAGAGCCAGGCCAAGAATTGGGGTGAGAAATTTCAGGCAGATGAAATAGCATGAGGGAAGTCTACAGAGGGAAGGAGCCTGGCATGTGTAAGAAAAACAGACAGTGAGTGTGGCTGATATGAGTAAGCAGAGAGGAGAGCAAGGGAAAGACCAGATGCGGTGTCAGGCCAGGCTTTTAAGTAGTGGGCTTACCTTGATTGCTTTTTTTTGTTTTGTTTTGTTTTGTTTTGTTTTTTTGAGATGGAGTCTCACTCTGTTGCCCAGGCTGGAAAGCAGTGGTGCCATCTCGGCTCACTGCAACCTCTACCTCCCAGGTTCAAGCAATTCTCCTGCCTCAGCCTCCCAAGTAGCTTAGGACTATAGGCATATGCTACCACGCTCGACTAATTTTTGTATTTTTAGTAGAGATGGGGTTTCACCATGTTGGCCAGGCTGGTCTCGAGTAATCAGCCAGCCTCAGCCTCAAGTGATCTATCCCCCTCAGGCTCCCAAAGTGCTGGGATTACAGGCATGAGCCACTGCGCCCAGCCCCTTGATTGCTTTTTAAGCATTTTAAACTGAAGGCAAAAAGAGGGTTGGGAAATAGGCTGGGAGTGGTGACAAAATCAGGAAAGTGCAAAAATATATGCTGATTTGTGAATTTGCATTTCAGTATTCATCCATTCATTCATTTATATTTATGGGATGAGGGACTACCAAGTGAATCTGATCCCGTCTGAAATTATCTGGGTGTCAATAACTACTGAATAGGATGAATGCATAAACAGTAACTTACAAGGTCAACACACCGGCAAAAGACATTCTGTTTAAAATTATTTAATTTCATTTGTTCTGATATTAAGTTAGTTCTTTCAGTAGATTTTCATTCTAGGGATAGTCACTGATATTTGTTGAATGCTTACCATGCATCAACTTCTGTTCTAATACGGTAATACGTAACAGGCGTGTTTTCGCATTCACACCTCACCACAACAACGCAGACAGGTAGGATTCATCATTATCCCCCACTTTACTGATGGTGAAGTAGACAGTGAAAGGCACATTGGCCCACTGGCCTGAGATCACCTAGTTAGTAAGCGGAGAGTCAAGATTCACACTCAAGCAGTCTGATTTCAACTCAAAAGCTCTTAATGGCTACTTCTAACTTCCAGAAAGAAGTCACAGACAAGCAATACAAACATCTGGTGGGTTTAATTGTTGCATTTCTCATTTTAAATTAGTAAATTGGCATTGTGCATTACACATTAAGCTCTGTGGGCTCATTACTGTGATTTGATTCTCTAGAGTTTTGCTCCCTTTTAGTGAACTAATAAGGCTGAATTTCCAAACCTGAAATCCAGCTGTGGATCAATGGTTAGAACACAGGAGAGTGACAGGACCAAAGATGGGGAAAGCTGCAGCAGCCACGTCTTGCAGGTTATATAGACCATGCGCACAGTTTGAACTGTTCCCTAGTGTGTAGGGAAGGAGTATGATTGGTTAGGAGGTGATCACGACAGTTTGGGTGAGAGATGGTGGTGACTTAGACCACTGCGATGGCAGTTAAAAAGGAGATGAAATAACAAATTCTAAGTAAAAGGCTGCACAAAGTGCTTGGCATGTAGTAGGTGTGCTATTAAGGGGTAGCTATTGTTAACAACTATGGCAAATTCATTTCAATCCAGCAGGTCACATTTCATGGATTGGAAATGACTGCCTGAAGCATAGCATTGGAAAGATATTCTGACCCCGCTTCAGCCCCACACAGGAGGAGCACTAGGATAGACTGGAGATGTGTGTCATAAGCTCTGGATAAACAGGTGGTAGCATGAATGATTTAACACCCTCCCCTTGGTGCTGTTCTCATGATAGTGAGTTCTTGCAAGATCTGGTTGTTTAAAAAGCGTGTAGCACCTTTCCCTCACTCTATCTATCTTGTTCCTGCTCCTGCCATGTAAGACACCTGCTCCTTCTTTGCCTTCTGCATGATTGGAAGCTTCCTGAGGTCACCAAAAAGCAGAAGCTGCTATGCTTCCGTATAGCCTGTAGAATTGTGAGCCAATTAAACCTCTTTTCTTTATAAATTACCCAGTCTCAGGTATTTCTTTATAGTAATGTGAGAAGAGACTAATATACAAGTAAAGACAACATTTTTATACAGATGATTTTGAATCATTTTTCTCCATAATAACATTCAAAGACAAAGAGGGCTTAAGCTATAGTAAAAACAATACTTTTTATTAGAAAAAAACAATACCTAATGGATGATGAACTACAGAAACTTACAAAATTGACCTTGGGTTTGAAAGTATTCATGAGCAATGCCCTCCCTGCAAACAAAAGATTCCACAGGCAAGTTAGTTTGACTTAGGTCAAATGTTTTAGCCTCTCTTAGAGATTCATGATGCATGTTAGCATGCTAAAAGTTCAGAAAAGGAAGCACACTAAAAGACACATTTTTAAGGTTGTTTAACCAGAAGTTTCCAAATTCATTGACCATGGGATTTTTTTTTTCACTTTATACTTAACATCCCATAGAAACATAATACCTGCATTAATATTGCATTATGATAACAAGACATTGTGCTACAAAATTTGTAATGTCATCTTTTTCTTCTGGCTTTTGTACAGCTCAATCAGTAGGAGCAAAGGAGAGGAGGAGAAGGAGACTAGTGCTTTTTTTTTTTTTTTTTTTTTTTGAGCTGGAATGCAATGGTGCAATCTCGGCTTACTGCAACCTCTGCCTCCTGGGTTCAGGTGACTCTCCTGCCCCAGCCTCCTGAGTAGCTGGGACTACAGACAGCCACCACCACCCCCGACTAATTGTTTTTGTATTTTTAGTAGAGACAGGGTTTCACCATGTTGGCCAGGCTGGTCTCGAACTTCTGACTTCAAGTGATCTGCCTGCCTCAGCCTCCCAAAGTGCTGGAATTACAGGCGTGAGCCACTGTGCCTGGCTGACCAGTCCATATTATTTGCTTGTTTCTAGAGAACGATGCTCACTTAGTGATAACTGGTTGTATATAGCTCCACCTTGGCTCTGAATCTGATCACTGATGTTGTGGCTAACAATATTTAACCTCTGGATGATGAAGATCGAGTTGCAGCCTACACCCACATTTTGAAGTTGCTTAAATTTGGACTACTCAGGAGACACACAGATTCTGCAGATATGAGCCAGTCACAGAACACTAGGGCTTACTCATTTTCAAAGTTTCCAATTTTTAGTTCAGTGCTTCGTACATAAAAGAGACTCACAAATGGCTTTTGAGTAATGAATGAATACACAAATGAATGAATAATTATGGTAACTATTTTTGCTCATGAGAAAAGGTAACTAATTATAAGACCAGTAAGTATTGCACCAAATCTAGGATAAATTTTAAATAACACAATAGCCTTAAAATTAAACAAGAGTTCCTTTATTTGTTCTGTGGAGATTTAGCAAGTTAGATCTACTTTTGTCTGAATTATACATGCTGAAAAAATGGCATCTTCGTATAAAAATTGGCTAACGTTATTAAGTAACTTTGTCCTTTAATTAGGCAAGCCACTTAATCTCTTTGTTTTCTTGTCTCCTGCAATAGGTGAACTCTAAACTCTTAAGTTCTTACTCTAAGCTCTTTAGAACTCTAAGTTCTAGAGTGTCCATGAATCTATTCACTTATAAATATGATGCTTTGTACTTTTTTTTTCTTGCAACACTGGGAAAGTGCATAATGTTCATTCTAAAACACAGTCTAAGTCCAGACCAAAAGAGCCTCAGGAAAGCACAGAATTCCAAAATGTTTTGTAAGAAAATCCTCACTCATTAAAGGTATGCTCATAAGAGGAAAACAAGAACTCTATTATATTTTTCTACAGAAGAACTGTATGAAGGCCTCTTCACAGAATCTCAGCAAGAACCGCACTCTCTTCTGGGACAGTCTTGATGAACATTGGCCACCTTGGGAACTGATGACTTAGGCAGGTCCCCAAATAATCTTTAGGTACCTTTATAAGCCAACACTTACATGTACTTATTAAATAGCAGCCACTGTTCTAAATGCTCTACCTAGATTTAATCCTAACCACAGCCCTAAGAACTGGGTGGTATTATTATCTTCATTTTACAGATGGGTAAGTTGAGGTATAGCATGCTTAATTATCTAAGTGTTATGGACCTATTAAATGGTAGGGAATCAAGATAGTATGGGTCCAGAATCTCTGCTGGTAACCCTTCTGCTATACTGCCACTCAGGATATCATCTAGTCATTGACAAAGGCTGAAACAGACTAAGTCAACTGACGTTGATCAGGAGTCCACCATGTTAAATGCTGTAAGGAACTGAGGGGGAATAAAATGATGGGGTCCTCATTACTGCACTTACCCAGCTAACAAATAAGCAACACACTCTAGGCAGAATGAAATGAATATTAAAATAAAGATTCTTGGGAAAGAGGAGGTAGAATTTGATCTAGCCTTGAAGAATAGAATTTTAATAGAGTGGAAAAGCAACATTTCAGGTTCAAGCAACAGTGCGATTTTAGGGTGTGCCAATTAGGCTTGTCTGCCCAGATTGCAAGACACACAGTAGGGCAGTGGTTCCCAACCTTTCTGGCACCAGGGACCAGTTTCCATGGGAGAAAATGTCTCCATGGACTGGGGTTGTGGGGGTGATGGTTTCAGGATGAAACAGTTCCACCTCAGATCACATCATCAGGCATTAGATTCTCATAAGGAGTATGCAACCTAGATCCCTCCCATGTGCAGTTCATAATAGGGTTCACACTCCTATGATAATCTAATGCTGCTGCTGATCTGACAGGAGGTGGAGCTCAGGTGGTAATGCTTACTTACCTGCTTGTCACCTCCTGCTGAGCAGCCTGGGTCCTAACAGGCCACAGGCTGGTGACCCCTGCAGTAGGGGATGACATCTGGCTCTTGAAGAGTCTCAATGCTGTGCTGAGTCTAAATGTCATTGTGAAGGCAATAAGGACTAACTTGACTTTTACTTTGGAGTATAACTCGAGATAGAATGGTGGGCTATAATCTAAGCAGGAAGAATGAGGAATTAAATCAAGGCAGTTTCAGTGACAAGTGTAAAAATGGGTGATGTGGTACCAGGATGTTGCGATATGGTGTCCAGACCTCCCCTTCAGTAATAATGATCAGATTATCCAAGTCACTGGGAATGTTGCCAAAAGAGGGCCTTTGGCCAAGGTCATGACCTCTTCCTGGGATGGTGGCATCAATGACTGATCATCACTGCGGGTGTAAAGGCCCCTAA